ATATATGCAGCCGTGGAAAACAGCGTTTTGGCGCATATTTTTAAACTACCCACGTCACTTTTTCCCAAGCAAAAAGAGCTACTTAAGCTTATTTTCCAAATTTTGTCACCCTAGCATGTCTAGATCATGAGATTTCAAAACTGGAACTGGTCAACTATATTGTTTTTAATTATCTAGTATAAAGCGCATGCCATAATTGCATTTTGTTGGAGTTTCTACCAGCTATGGGAGACTCTCCTACTCGCACGGTCGTCTTACGTATAGCAACTCTTTTTTGCATATCCCCTTCATAGCCGTAATCTTTAGTACGCATTATGGGAAGTGTGAAATTAGTCCATGCCTCATCGAACTCAACACAGCTGTAACAATAGTATCAGATTTGTACAAACAAAGATGAATTTGTTTTTGTTTGATATCAAAATCGATATAAATTTTGTTATCACCGCACGCAAAACAAAGAATTTTAAATCTATTCTTTTTAATTCATAGAAATAGAGGAATTGGTTGTCAAAAGCATTGTGAGCTGTGACTTTTTACATATGAATCAGTCTTCGTGTGCAGAATGTGGGACTATATTCTATTCACTACTGAATGTTTGACCTATGACCCAATGCATGTGTAGAATAGTTTCGTCGCTAATTACACTGCGCTCTCATTGGTCATCCGTAATAATCTAATTAACCAACCCCATATAAGGCATGCGCGCCTTATCACACTTCACCCATTTCGTCCGAGCCGTCCGCAAGCGAGGAGCTAGTGAAGCCAGCACGCCACCCCGCCACCACGCACGCTTGCCACGTGGAAGCGCTCCTCGATCTTTCTCTCTCACCAACGGCTCCGGAAAAAGGTTTGGGTGTAGTGAGGGTAACGTTAACGTTACATTTTTAATTTCCGGTCTTTTAGTGCTCCCCAGGGTGTGTTAGTTTGGGGAGAGTAGGCGCACGTGGGGCGGCCTGTTTTCCTTCTTTTTGGGAGTTTGTGTTTCTTCCCTGATTTTTCCCCGTTGGAAGGGTGGGTTTCAGCGTTCCTTTGTTCGCTGAATCCTTTTTTTTTCAGGGAGGGTGACTCGAGTTAAGTTCTCCCAAAGCGCTCCACGACTTAGCCTATCTGCTTCGCGTGGCGGAGGCTTGCTCGGGTTGGGAAACTTTCGTTTTAGGAGCATGTACTGACATGTACGCTGTTGTTGTTTCATAGTATGGCTTCCCAGCAACAGCCGGTATTACCTGGTTCCAGTGGAGCGGGCACAGGACGCGGAGCCGTCAGAGACCCGAGAGCCAGACCTCAGCGAGCCCAACCCGGGCAACAGCAGAACAGGGTGGAACAAGTCCAGGCCGACGGGCAAGCCCAGCAGCCAGAGCAACAGGAAGCAGAAGTCCAGGCAGACGTCCCGGCAGCTCAAGGCGGGGTCGGTCCCGAACCCCAGCCCGAGCAACAACAGGCAGCGCTAGTGGTTGGGCAGGCGGATGAGGCCCAGGCCCCGGCCCCGGTAAGACGCGCGTTTTGTTCTTACTGGCATTTTTGACTTTGTGTTAGTCATAGATATGCCTTGTTACATTTTCTGCTTTGCATCGTGTGTTTGGAATTTCGTTGCTTTTCGCTGGTTGTAAGTTTTTGTCAAGGATTTGTTACGTAGACGTCCTTGCCATTTTCTTTCTGTAGCGTGCTTTAGTGTTTTTGTGTAAACGTGCGAACTAGTTTTATCCGGGACCGCCCGTTTGTTGTTGTTTATCGTATTCTGATAATTAGCGCACCTGTGGGTAGACCGCGCCGGTGGGTAGCGTGTCTCCTTTTGTTATGTAAATGCCGGCTATGCGCAATAGGTGCGAGGGCCGGAGAAGAGGCGTGATCGTGTTAGCCATACTGCAATGAGGTAGTAGCACCGTTGTGACAATGTGGTCGCCAGGGTGAAGGCTTACAGTGTGCAGTTTTTCAATGTCGTACTGTAATATGACGGTACATCGGGGTGACAAAACGGTCGCCTGGTTTAGTAGCGTGGCACACAGAACGCCCGGATTTTTCGATAATCCGCACCGCTTTTCGGCGGTTTAACGTTGCGACATTGGTCGCCGTGGGAATGTTTACAACATTCAATATGCCGTACTGCAATTCGGCGGTACAACGTGGCGATAATGTGGTCGCCTTTTTTTGTGTATTTAGCGTACACAACTTAAAACATGTAAGTTGTTCTGCAATTCGGCGGTACAACGTGGCGATAATGTGGTCGCCTTTTGTAGTATTTAGTCGTACACAATTTAAAACATGTAAGTTGTTCTGCAATTCGGTCGGTACAACGTGGTGATAAATGTGGTCGCATGTTGTGTATTAGCGTACACAACTTAAAACGTGTAAGTTGTTCTGCAATTCGGCGGTACAACGTGGCGATAATGTGGTCGCCTTTGTGTAATTAGCCTACACAACCTAAAGCATTTAAGTTGTACTGCAATTTCGGCGGTACAGCGACGCGATAACGTGATCGCCACGTGAATGTTTTACACACAGCCTAAGATTTTTTTTTTTTTTTTTAGTAGGTCGTACTGCAAATTGGCAGTACAACGAGGAAATAATGTGATCGTCTTGCGTATAGCACGCACAGCCGGTGAACATTCCTACAATTTCGGCGGTGTGTTCGCCGGGTGAGTGTTTAATTCACAGTACGGGCAAGCAGTTCGCTGTTAAATAACGTAACAGTACCATGAAGCGGCGTGGCCGGTGNTGAAAGAGAAATCTAAATGTCTTTCATACTGCAGTTACGTAGTTGGCTTTTGGTGATTGTTAGTTTTTCAGTAGTTGAAGTTGTAGAATAGGAACTTTTAAAAAATTTTTTGTGAATAGGTTAAGGGGTTTAGATTGAGGGTTTAAAGTTTGGAGTCTGTAGTAGGTTGTGGGTACGTGTAATAGGACATTTTGTTTGCACATCTTTAAAGTGTAGGCAAAGTCTTTGTCCTTTTATGTAGTTGGTTAAACTACCAACAGCATAGATGGGTTAAGTAGGTTTCTATAACAACAGCACAGCAAGGGTGTAGAGTTGTTTGTTGAGATAACAGTAACCGTCAAGTGTTCCTTTAACAATCGAAGCTATCCAGGAAACAGTCCTGACAAGGTAGTACCGTAAATCAAAAATAGGTTCAAGGTCAAGTGTTGGAAACTGCATAACAAATGCCTGCTAAACTACATGTAATTAGTGGACCATGACACAGCCTTTAAAGTGCATGCATTTACTAGTATATGGTAAGTTTAGCATTACTAGCTACGTGTGTAGTTTAGTAAAGATGTGCGATATTTGAGCCACTTAAAGAATTATTTGTCGTCTTGCTTTTTTGGCACAAAACCACATAGGAAGGTATTGTAGGACACTTCCACACCATTTTCCAGGTTAAAAGAGTTTTTTGTTGAAGCAAGATAGGAGTTTGGAGTGTCTAGTAGGTTGTGGGTTTTTCACGATGCAGGCGTGTTGTTCTATGTAGTAGGTTAAGATAACAGATAGGGTGAACTAGGGTAAGATAACAATAAAACTGGACAGGGTGTAGAGATAGATGTGTCCTATAATAACAAGAGTCTCAGCTACTCTGAAAACAGCCCTGACAAGTTAGTACTGTATATCAAAATAGATTCAAGGTCAAGTGTGGGAAACCGCATAAGAAATACATGGTATACAACTTTTTTGAGTACTAGTAAGTTGTAACTCATATGCAGGATTCAATGACGTTGTTGGATCGAGCTCAAAAGGTCCCATTAATTTGCAAAGAAATATATATTTTCACCAAAGGTTCTTTAAATTGTATGTGTGTTTACAAAATCTGGCTAATATATGCAGCCGTGGAAAACAGCGTTTTGGCGCATATTTTTAAACTACCCACGTCACTTTTTCCCAAGCAAAAAGAGCTACTTAAGCTTATTTTCCAAATTTTGTCACCCTAGCATGTCTAGATCATGAGATTTCAAAACTGGAACTGGTCAACTATATTGTTTTTAATTATCTAGTATAAAGCGCATGCCATAATTGCATTTTGTTGGAGTTTCTACCAGCTATGGGAGACTCTCCTACTCGCACGGTCGTCTTACGTATAGCAACTCTTTTTTGCATATCCCCTTCATAGCCGTAATCTTTAGTACGCATTATGGGAAGTGTGAAATTAGTCCATGCCTCATCGAACTCAACACAGCTGTAACAATAGTATCAGATTTGTACAAACAAAGATGAATTTGTTTTTGTTTGATATCAAAATCGATATAAATTTTGTTATCACCGCACGCAAAACAAAGAATTTTAAATCTATTCTTTTTAATTCATAGAAATAGAGGAATTGGTTGTCAAAAGCATTGTGAGCTGTGACTTTTTACATATGAATCAGTCTTCGTGTGCAGAATGTGGGACTATATTCTATTCACTACTGAATGTTTGACCTATGACCCAATGCATGTGTAGAATAGTTTCGTCGCTAATTACACTGCGCTCTCATTGGTCATCCGTAATAATCTAATTAACCAACCCCATATAAGGCATGCGCGCCTTATCACACTTCACCCATTTCGTCCGAGCCGTCCGCAAGCGAGGAGCTAGTGAAGCCAGCACGCCACCCCGCCACCACGCACGCTTGCCACGTGGAAGCGCTCCTCGATCTTTCTCTCTCACCAACGGCTCCGGAAAAAGGTTTGGGTGTAGTGAGGGTAACGTTAACGTTACATTTTTAATTTTCCGGTCTTTTAGTGCTCCCCAGGGTGTGTTAGTTTGGGGAGAGTAGGCACACGTGGGGCGGCCTGTTTTCCTTCTTTTTGGGAGTTTGTGTTTCTTCCCTGATTTTTCCCCGTTGGAAGGGTGGGTTTCAGCGTTCCTTTGTTCGCTGAATCCTTTTTTTTTCAGGGAGGGTGACTCGAGTTAAGTTCTCCCAAAGCGCTCCACGACTTAGCCTATCTGCTTCGCGTGGCGGAGGCTTGCTCGGGTTGGGAAACTTTCGTTTTAGGAGCATGTACTGACATGTACGCTGTTGTTGTTTCATAGTATGGCTTCCCAGCAACAGCCGGTATTACCTGGTTCCAGTGGAGCGGGCACAGGACGCGGAGCCGTCAGAGACCCGAGAGCCAGACCTCAGCGAGCCCAACCCGGGCAACAGCAGAACAGGGTGGAACAAGTCCAGGCCGACGGGCAAGCCCAGCAGCCAGAGCAACAGGAAGCAGAAGTCCAGGCAGACGTCCCGGCAGCTCAAGGCGGGGTCGGTCCCGAACCCCAGCCCGAGCAACAACAGGCAGCGCTAGTGGTTGGGCAGGCGGATGAGGCCCAGGCCCCGGCCCCGGTAAGACGCGCGTTTTGTTCTTACTGGCATTTTTGACTTTGTGTTAGTCATAGATATGCCTTGTTACATTTTCTGCTTTGCATCGTGTGTTTGGAATTTCGTTGCTTTTCGCTGGTTGTAAGTTTTTGTCAAGGATTTGTTACGTAGACGTCCTTGCCATTTTCTTTCTGTAGCGTGCTTTAGTGTTTTTGTGTAAACGTGCGAACTAGTTTTATCCGGGACCGCCCGTTTGTTGTTGTTTATCGTATTCTGATAATTAGCGCACCTGTGGGTAGACCGCGCCGGTGGGTAGCGTGTCTCCTTTTGTTATGTAAATGCCGGCTATGCGCAATAGGTGCGAGGGCCGGAGAAGAGGCGTGATCGTGTTAGCCATACTGCAATGAGGTAGTAGCACCGTTGTGACAATGTGGTCGCCAGGGTGAAGGCTTACAGTGTGCAGTTTTTCAATGTCGTACTGTAATATGACGGTACATCGGGGTGACAAAACGGTCGCCTGGTTTAGTAGCGTGGCACACAGAACGCCCGGATTTTTCGATAATCCGCACCGCTTTTCGGCGGTTTAACGTTGCGACATTGGTCGCCGTGGGAATGTTTACAACATTCAATATGCCGTACTGCAATTCGGCGGTACAACGTGGCGATAATGTGGTCGCCTTTTTTTGTGTATTTAGCGTACACAACTTAAAACATGTAAGTTGTTCTGCAATTCGGCGGTACAACGTGGCGATAATGTGGTCGCCTTTTGTGTATTTAGCGTACACAATTTAAAACATGTAAGTTGTTCTGCAATTCGGCGGTACAACGTGGTGATAATGTGGTCGCATGTTGTGTATTAGCGTACACAACTTAAAACGTGTAAGTTGTTCTGCAATTCGGCGGTACAACGTGGTCGATAATGTGGTCGCCTTTGTGTAATTAGCCTACACAACCTAAAGCATTTAAGTTGTACTGCAATTTCGGCGGTACAGCGACGCGATAACGTGATCGCCACGTGAATGTTTTACACACAGCCTAAGATTTTTTTTTTTTTTTTTAGTAGGTCGTACTGCAAATTGGCAGTACAACGAGGAAATAATGTGATCGTCTTGCGTATAGCACGCACAGCCGGTGAACATTCCTACAATTTCGGCGGTGTGTTCGCCGGGTGAGTGTTTAATTCACAGTACGGGCAAGCAGTTCGCTGTTAAATAACGTAACAGTACCATGAAGCGGCGTGGCCGGTGGATGAATCAGTTAAAATCCAGTGCAGGCAAGCGCGCGGAGTAATGAGTAAGCACTCGAACCGCTGATGTAAGCCTGCAAAGGGGTAGGCTTGGCGTCTAGGCGTCAGCTGTAATTTGGTGTCACGTTGATCCTTTTTCTGATAGTTCGCCGTGCGCACTATGGGCAGGACTCTTTTGTTTAAGAGTGGATGGTACGATACGAGTCCCTCGTGCATTGTGAGCATAGAAATGAATTTGTTTCTTTGCTTTGTATTGTCCCTACAGGACGTGGCGGCCTTGATAAGAGAAATGCAAGAGCTGAAGAAGCAGGTAGGGGCGCTGAAGAGCGGGAGGGCGGCTGACGACATAAAGGAGGAGCTGGTCCAGTACGCCGGCAGGCCGGAGGCGGCATTTGATGCGCATCGTGCCCTGGCGTTAGTGGAGGCTCTCGTCTCACAAGCTAGAAAGGAGGGGCATGCCAAAGCAAAAGAATACTCGATTATTCTGGACCAAATCTCACCGTTGGTATCAGAACCTTTCTTTAGGCATCTCATAGTAAACCAGTTTGGATGTGGCATAGTAAAACAGGTAGCGCGAGATATCGCGCAATTTGTAAAGTGCCAGGGTAACCTCTCGAAGGGGTCTGCAGCCTCTAAGGGGAAACAACCTAGGGCTGGCCCCTATAGCGCTAAAGGTAAAGGTGCCAAGAGCCCGCGAACCGCACGACCAGGAGATAAGTGTTTCAACTGTGACAAGTTGGGTCATTTTGCAAGAGATTGTAAGTCAGAGAAAAAGAGTTAATCGGAAGCCGTGTGACGATTGTATGTGTCGTACACTTGTGTTTTCTTTTTGTTTTGTACAATTTGTGCGGAGTTGTAACACAGCTTTCCGGATAAGTTGCAAGTGAATATGTTGTACAATCTGTGTGGATTTGTAACGACTCAGCTTTCACGATAACTTGCAAGTGAATATGTTGTACAATTTGTGTGGATTTGTAACGACACAGCTTTCCTGATAATCTGCAAGTGAATATGTTGTACAATTTGTGCGGATCTGTAACGACACAGCTTTCCTGATAATGTGTAAGTGAATATGTTGTACAATTTGTGCGGATTTGTAACGACTCAGCTTTCCTGATAATCTGCAAGTGAATATGTTGTACAATTTGTGCGGATTTGTAACGACTCAGCTTTCACGATAAGTTGCAAGTGAATATGTTGTACAATTTGTGCGGATTGGTAACACAGTTTTCCTGATAGCGTGCAAGTGAATATGTTGTACAATTTGTGCGGATTTGTAACGACACAGCTTTCCTGATAATCTGCAAGTGAATATGGTGTACAACTGGTGCGGATTTGTAACACAGTTTTCCTGATAACTTGCAAGTGAATATGTTGTACAATTTGTGCGGATTTGTAACACAGTTTTCCTGATAACTTGCAAGTGAATATGTTGTACAATTTGTGCGGATTTGTAACGACTCAGCTTTCACGATAACTTGCAAGTGAATATGTTGTACAATTTGTGCGGATCTGTAACGACACAGTTTTCCTGATAACTTGCAAGTGAATATGTTGTACAATTTGTGCGGATCTGTAACGACACAGCTTTCCTGATAATCTGCAAGTGAATATGTTGTACAACTGGACGGATTTGTAACGACACAGCTTTCCTGATAACTTGCAAGTGAATATGTTGTACAATTTGTGCGGATTGGTAACACAGTTTTCCTGATAGCGTGCAAGTGAATATGTTGTACAATTTGTGCGGATTTGTAACGACACAGCTTTCCTGATAATCTGCAAGTGAATATGGTGTACAACTGGTGCGGATTTGTAACACAGTTTTCCTGATAACTTGCAAGTGAATATGTTGTACAATTTGTGCGGATTTGTAACGACACAGCTTTCCTGATAACTTGCAAGTGAATACGTTATACAACTAGTGCGGTTGTGTAACGACACAGTCTTCCCGATAACTGGCAAGTGAATATGTTTGTACACTTCTGTGGATTGTAATGACACAGTGTTCTCGATAACTTGCAAGTAAGACATGTACAACGTTGTGGATTTGTAGTGGCACAGACCTTTCTTGACGACTGGCAAGCAAAATATGTTGTACAAGGACACACTTCTTTCGATGACTTGCAAGTAAATAGGTGTGCAACGTTGTGGATTTTGTAACGACAGATTTATTTTTGCTTTGCTTCATGGCTTGCAAGTAATTTTGCGGTACAACTTGTGTGAATTGTGTAACGACGCGAACATGTTGACGGACTGGACTGGTTGTACGGGGTACATGTGGAACAAAGAGTAGGATAAGACAATAAAAGTCTGAGCAGTTTACCTGTGTGTCAGTGGTTTGTTTACCTGTATTTAAGATCTTCCGGGACAAGTACGCTACTCTGAAAGTTTCTCCAGAAAGAATGTTTTGGACCAGCGTTTTTAATAGTAACCTTTTTTCAGTCTACTTATCATTAAAAAGAATATTCTGTATTTCAGGAAGCTGCATGGCCCACACCACATGTCCACGATTTCGAACTAAAATTCAAGTTCGATCCTTTCGCGGCCTACAAAAAGCATCTGATTCGCGATATAACTTGGATAACTAGGAAAAGAGATGGCAAATTGATCGTGCCACCTTCAGTAGAGGCAGTCGCCGCTAGGCGTATAAAGGCCTCGGCAGACTCGCTGATGTTCAGGGATCCCGATTCTTTCCGGCGGGGGAGATTCACAAACACCCGGAGGAATGGAATAGCATCTTGGGGCAGGGACAGTTTCCTGATATGATTAGAGATTGGATCGAAAGTGGAGTGTCCATTTTCCATTTTATGCAACCTTTTAAGGGGAGGTTTAAAGGAGTTGATTATGACTGTGCTTTCCCTCCCCCAAGGTGTTTCTCGAATCTCCCCAGTTGCGCGCCGTTTGCGGAGTTTGTTTCCCGGGCTATCGAAGACCGCATAGTAACGGGAGCGGTGGAGATATGGGGTAGGGTAGGGAAAGTACCCCCACCTTATCTGGTTTTACCGCTCACGGTAGAACCCTCCAAACCCAGGTTGTGCCATGACTTAAGGTATCTCAACTTGTGGATGAAAGACTGCCCATTCTCTTTGGATTCGGTGGTAAACTTAACGCGGTATGTCGAGCAAGGCCACTACCAAACGAAGTGTGACGATAAGAGTGGTTACGATCATGTTCTAATCTCTGAAGCAAGTAAACCGTTAGTGGGATTCCAATGGGGTGGTTTCTTCTATGTATCGACCACAATTCCCTTCGGCTGGTCCATTTCCGGTTTTATATATCAGACCTTAGGTAACGTAGCCATGCACAGAATAAGGGAGTTGGGAGTACCCTCATCATTATATATTGATGATAGGCACGCAGGCCAGTTGCAAACCGCTGCAAAGGAACTAGTTAGGAAGAGACAGGAGGCAGATTACGAGGCGGCTCAGGCAGCCTGTTTCATCATGTGTAGTGTCATAGTAGCATTGGGATATTTCATTGGCATCTCGAAGTCCCAGCTGGACCCAGTTCAGTGCTTAGAGTTTCTGGGTATGGAGTCAGACTCCATCCTAACAGCCTTCAGGCTACCAGAAAGAAAGAAGGTCTCCTTTGCCGAGCATAGAGAGGGAATCTTAAGCGAGGACAGGGTGCCCGTCTCTCGCTTACAGAAGATAACAGGGAAACTGGTGTCCTTTGGCTAAGCTGTGCCCGCAACGCGTCTCTACTGCAGAGAGATGTTCCACGCTATAAGTATAGCGAATAAGCGGAAAACAGACGTACGAATCACAGGTAGCGTGAGGAAGGAGTTAGAACACTGGAGGTTCTTAGACCAGTGGCAAGGACACATCCCGTGGAGGTTAGAGAAGCATGAGTCGATTCGGCTGTTTTCGGACGCATCGGGATTCAGATGGGGAGGTTCACTTGTAACTGAACAAGGTACAACAGAGTTTGGGCCAAGAGCAGGCGAACATTATAGCCGTTAAGGAAACGGAAGCTCTCAGGCGTGTCTTAATAACTGCTGAGAACAAGGTGCTTGACAAGAGAGTGGACGCTCTCGTAGATAATACAAATCTGATTTCGGCTTGGAGCAACCAAGGAGGGAAAAGTCTGCAGCTATCAAGAGCCATACGCGATTTGTGGGAGGAGGTCGTAAGACTGAATGTTGATTTGAATTTAACTTTCACCCCGTCGAAGGAGAACGAGGCGGACGCCCCTTCGCGTCACATTAAGCCCTCGGACGCTATGCTGCACAAGAAGGTGTTCTTCCGTATCGAGACAGAATTGGGAGGAGAGCACGGTTTCGATACAGACCTCATGGCTTTGCCCTCCAACGTACAGTCTTCAAGATTAGGACAAAAAGTTACGGTTCTTCAGTCCCTATCCAACACCGCACTGCGATGGGGTCAATGTGTTCTCACAGGACCTCTCTAAACGTAACGCATACGTATTCCCACCGTTCGGGCTTATCGGTCCTCTGATAAAGTTTGTGATACAGCAGAAGGCACGCGTGGTGATGGTAGTTCCTAAGACTTGCCCGTTGGAATACTGGTGGCCGATAGTAGAACGGCAAGCCACGAGAAAGGTACGAGTAGCATGTGCGGGCCAACCAGTCCTACACTTTCCGACAAAGAGAGGCGGCTGGCAGCTGAAGCCAACCATTTGGGATCTATGGGCGATCCTCTTCTCGGAAAGTGAGACAGACTAAGCGGGCAAATAAAGTACAAAACCAGGTATTTTCATAGTAGAGTCAACTATAGGCGGATAGCCCGAGAATTGTAAATGATTCTCACTCTAGGCATACTCTTGGTTCTATTTTCAGATCTCAGGAAAATCTACACCGGAGCTCCAACCACAAGTGTTCCCTGTGCAACAAGAGGGTACAGGCAGTTCTTATGAATTACGTGTAGCTCGCGACAAGCGAGTAGGGGAAGGAGGTAAGACCCTTAGTGGTCCGGAGTTTGGCGGAGCGCCAAGACTCTGGGTACCGGCAGTGAAATGCACGGCTTGCGGTTACCCGAATGATTTTGATTTCAATTTCTGTCAAAAATGTGGTACTCCGAAGGTTGAAGAGTCGTCTACGGCAACGATTAGAGGCGTTCGGGTGGACCACGCAGCTATTGATAGCAGACTTCAGGAGATTTTGGGAAAGCAGTGTACCTCGACCTATGCTAAGCAGAAAACAGCCATGAGTGAATTGTTAAGGGATTTCTTAAAAACCCTGGTGCCCATGAAGACCTTAAGCTCAGCATCCCCGACAGACCTTGTGAAATTCCTAATCTGGAAGGACCAGAAAGGTAAAACGAAAGTACATGAATCAGGTTGTAAAGGAGGGAACACCGCCTGTAACTGCCCACATAGGTTAGCTTTCAAGACAGTGGACACATATATTGGGCAGCTTAGGGCTATTTTCAATGAGATCGGTAGAGGGGGCGAGTGGGACGAAAGATTGGGTGTCGGAAACCCAGCGGCAGGTAAGGTCGTGAAGCAATACTTGGCATCGGTAACAGCAGAACAGCTGGGGCAAGGATCAACCCCACTCCAAGCAAACCGGTTTTCCTGGACAAGATAGTTCAGATCTGTACGTTCATCTCAGAGAAGATAGCTTCGGAGAAGTCAGCATCAAGGCTTTTCACATTGGCTAGAGACCAAGCAATTTTTAAAGCTGCTTTTTTCTCCGGAGACCGGATAGCAGATCTGATGAGAACCAGGACAGCTGAGGTTTCCAGGTTACCATCTGGGGCACTGGTTCTGAACCATGTCTGGGGAAAAACGTTGAGAGATGGTAGGTCTAATCTCTTCGTGCTAGAGAGAACAGGGGACATTTCTACGTGCCCAGTCGAGGCAATAGACTGGTATGTAGAAATCGCTAGATTTTTGTCTATAGACCTCGGGGGAGGTTATTTATTCAGAGCTACTTCAAGGGAAGGTCTGGTAATGCAAGAACAGCCCTCTACAGCAACGGTAAGTAATTCTTTCCGCAGGTACTTGCAGAGGTTGGGAATCGATCAGGGAGAGACTCTCCATGGTTGCAGAGCAGGTTGCGCCATCGCTTTACACATGGCGGGCGCATCTGAACAGGAGGTAATGGACCACGTTGGATGGTTCACAAAGCAAACGGCGGCACACTACATGAAGATGGGAACGGTCATGAGACCAGGCGGGCCAGCTTCAAGGCTG